GAGGTTGGCGGTGCCTAAGGCGAGCTGCGGCTTCTTGTTTATTTCAGTCTTTCTGAGCCCGTCAGGCTGTAAAAAGATATGCTGTGCTTGAGTGCTGGCAGTGCTTACTTGCTGCGCCCTTTATTTCTGGGGTGGCCGGACTTCATCCCAGGCCCGATAGGTACCTGAACGCAGATAGCGGCTAGGGGTGCTTTCCTCTCTCTTCAACGAGCGAGCCTTGGCTGCGGCCGGGTCACGGACTTCAGCCTGAAATCTGCCGTGTCTGAAAACTAACCTTGCAAAACTTCTGACCCCTCTTCTGGGCGCTCTTACACTCGCTTGTGGAGGGGAGTGCGTTATTTACGAGGCTTGTGCTCCTGTAGGCGTCCCTAGGCGTGGAGGGCAGCTTCCCTAAAAAGCCACTGCAGTTCTGTCGTTTTGTCTCTTGTTACAGCAGACTGCTTTATTTTGGAATCAAACTGCTTCTAAGAAGAGAGGCAGACTAACCTAGGGATACGAGGAGCCTTTGCCTGCAGGCATAGGGCGAAGTTGCTCGGAGGACCCGCTTCTGGCCCCCTGCCTGGTGCCAGAGGTCCCACCTTGGAAGTCAGGGGAGCCCTTCTTACGGGTAGCGCCGGTCCTGTAGAGGAGCGTTTGTAGGAGGGGGGCCCTGGCGTTAACCAAGCTCCCTGGCATGCAGTGAGCTTTACAGGGCTTTCTTACAGCTGGGAAAGCCTGCATATGGGGGGGGAAAGGGTTGGTAGTCAATATATATTTACTTACAAGGTTTTTTCCGAGTGTATGCTTAAAGCAGACCTGAACCCTGTATTGGGAACCACACAGCTGACCTTTGAACTTGGTTTGATTTCAGCAGCGCTTTGCAGAGGTGCGGAGAGCATCGTGCAGTTTGGGGGCATTAATAGTGAAAGAGTTCTCATTCGTTCTTAATTAAGAGGAATAGCAGCAATATAATTACTCTAAAAACGTTATTTGTTAATCTGTTGCTGTTGTCATGATTTGCTAGTTATGAACAAATCATGCTTTGTTATTGCTACAGAACTCTTTACCCTGCAAGAAACTAGCTAGCTTTGCGCTTTTAAAAACAGAAGTGTGCCTGGATGAGACTTGTTTAATAATAATATTTCCTTTAGAGATCTTGTCTGTGTGTATGTATTTATGGAAATAATTTTCGCAGAGTCGTTAGTGACTTTACCTGAATGCTCCTCAGAGTCATGCAGTAATGGTTGCATGCATAAAGGAAAAACACCTTTGAGCACAGTGTGGATCATTATCTCTTCTTCTTACCTGGTCCTCAAAGATGCTTTCAGAGGCTGCTTTATGTACCTACTTTGCTCATATGAGTTAGGTTATTAGATATATGCCTGCCATCGAGCAGGTAAAACTATGGTTATAATTTGACGCACAGCTGAGCACTTTAGATTTTTGGTTATTGTTCTGGACTTAAAAAAAAAAAAAAAAAAAAAAGGCAAAGGTTAATTCTTAATGTCATATATAATGTGTGTGGAATAAGTGTGAGTAGGTCGTCCCACAGAGTGAAAATACAGAAATAGATAGATGACTGTGTCTTCTGTGTTCTAGGCTTTGAAATGTGAAGTATACATAAGATGTAGCACTTTGGTCTTTGTTTGACAAACAAAGATTTTTTTTTGACCCTGCTTCATACACTAGGCAATTGATTGAGGTCCTGATTCTGTGAATAACTGAACTGTGGCAAGAACTGCCAGTATACTGACAAATGAAACGTTTTAGTGGCATGATCCTTCACGCTGTGTCCAGTGCTACTACCTGTGTTTGAGTTTCTCTCCTGTAGAACTGTGAACAGGCCTGGATCTTTATGTTGCATGCAATTTTTTCTACACTTTAGTTATTTTACAGGGTCAAGCCTTAGGTTTGACTTTAATAATGGATGTACAGGCTATTTCTGAATAAAATCTTCATTTAATTCTTCACTGCAAACTCTTTCAGCAAAATCTTGTAAACATCTGATGCAGTTAGTGCTCCTCAGTGAAATACATAGCTTATCCATAGTCCAAAGCAGCCATTTCATGCATGTACATTTGTAAATTTAAAGCATGCGCTTAAATGTTTGCTAAGATTGGGCCTAGTTTTTAGACAGAATTTTATAGTGAAAACTTGTAACAGCTGTATTAGTGGTAACACGAGAATGCACTGTCCTGTCAAAATTAAAGGATCTGACGAGGGGAAAAATCGTCAAGTTAAAAGGAAACATCTTTTTATTTTTTTTATAGAAAATGCAATGTTTTCAACAGAAGTTAACTTCCTTTTTTTTTTGTCCACTAGTTGTTCTTCTTAGACCATAGTTTGAGTTACTGTTTGACTGTTTGTCTCTAAGTGTTCTTGTTTTTTGTTTTTTGTTTTTTTATAAATACTGTTTTTTTTATAAATACTGTTTATTAGCATTAAGTGATGTTTCTTCTTGGTTGATGTGTGCTTACAGAGGACTATGGGAGTATGCTGCTTGCAGAGGCTCTGCTGGAAGAATGCTTGAAGGAGAACTTTGCCAAACTGAAGGACTCTGTTCCGCTAGTAGAAAAGAATGAGCCAAAGCTGAGTGAAGCTAAACAGTATTTGACCAATATCCTAAACAGAGGAAAACTACGAGTAAGTGTGCTGTGTAGGTGTGATTTTTACCAAGCTAATGCTTCTGTTATATGACTGTTAGCCTGATAGAAAGGGTCTGCATTGCTTGCGCCTGTCTTGCTGTTCTAGATACAAGGCTGTATTTGTAAACATCAGTAACATACACCGGTAATTCACTACCTCTTTGCAATGTCGTCTTTTGGGAAACTTGCTTTTTCATACTCAAAAAATAATTATGTACTTGTTTTCTCATATATATATATATATATGAGAAACACACACACACACACATATATATATATATACACATATATATATATATACACACACACACACACATATATATATATATCCTCTTCATTTTTGATTAGAAAGAAATGGGCTCAATGTTCAGGAGTTTGGGGTGGTGATGAGGCATGGCCACATGGCAGTGCAGCTGGCTTACCGCAGCTGAGCAAGTGGCTGCTGGGCTGAGGGAGTTACATGTACCTGGCCAGCTCGAGGTCTGAAGTCAGCCATGCCTCAAGTTGCTGTCAGGCACTTGAGGTTGTGGTGCAAGTCCAGGATTACAACCTTGCACTATTTTTCCATCACTGCCAGCGAAGTTATGCGAGGGGTGGTTTAAATTCCTCCGTTTTACTTCACGGTCAGGGCACATGGTAGGTAGCTGCCCATCAACCAGGCTGCGCAGCTTTAGGAGTGTTTTAAGACACAGTGACTCAACAGCTGTGTCCTTGGACACACTATTGCGTAAGTGTCTTTCAAGAGTCTGAAGTTGTGGATTTGTACTATGGGGCCTGAAACTTTTTGGTTAGCTTGGAAGCATATGTTACACTCTCACTCTGTTACTTTCTAGGGAGCATGTGTTTGACTGCTTTTCTGAGGGAGATCCTTGTTCTTAGCTTTCTGGAAGCTAATTTTTTTTTGTTTTTTTTTTTTTTTTTGAGGGGATTTTTTTTTGCTTCAAGAAGGAGGGGAGGTTTTTCCAATTTTTTTTCTTTCTCCTCACTTAGGCCCTGGGAGCGGTCAAATCTGCTGTGAGTTCTTGCAGGTCTTGGTATTAACAGTTGTCAGAATCCATGCAGCCACGCTTTCTTTGTTAGTGATGACTTGTCTACGTGTGCAAGATTGACCCTGTGTTGTAGTCTATACTGCATGTATTGAAAAAATGAGGGTGTAGGCTTTGGTGCCTTCTCCTCCTTGCTGGACTACAAGGAGGGTCTGGAAGGATTACTTATTTCTTATGGATTTATATCATCTAGCAGGAATCATATAGCAGAAAATACCTTCTGTTTTTTACTTTTGGCTGAGGATTCTTTGGGAACTTCAAGAGGACAATTTGGGCACTTTCTTGCTCATCACTAAAAGCGCAGAGGAGAGCGTTTGACTAGAAGATGATGCTTTCTGTCCAATTCTTCTAAAAACAGGGAAATTGTATATGCAAATACGACTAGCTTTGACAAGGGCAGTCTGTTATGTGCAGTTCATGCCTGGTGAATCGATAGAATGGATCTGCTGAGCCCAGTGAAGTGGCTTGTAAGCTGTATGCTCCCAGCTGTATACTCAAGAGTAGTTGCTTGGTCCTCGTTACCTGCTGCTCTTGTGATGGTAGCACTAGGATCTCTAGACACCTAAGTCCTTCCTAATCTGGCCTGTGGAATTGGCACAGTTGAGAAGAAAGCATTTTGTGTCAGCTTAGTGCAAGGTTTGTTCTGAATTATCTCTTTTTTTGTTCTTTGGTATTTTACCATGTAAACGCTTTTTTTTTTCCCTCCCCCCCTCCCTCATTTCAGCCCAAGTATATGACAGAAGCTATGCTGATCCTAGGAAAGCTTCATTATGTGGAGGGATCCTACAGAGATGCCATCAGCATGTATGCAAGAGCAGGAATTGATGACCTCTCAATAGGAAGTGAACCTCTGTACATGCTGCGTTTGGTGACCGAAGCCTTTGTTATTAAAGGTAAAGGACCATGTAAATACTTTTGAGATATGCTGTATTTAGGTTGAAGTTGAAGGTACTTCTCCCAGTGATTTGATTGAAGCAGAGTTAGGCCAGTGCTGTTTCCTTTAGAAAATCTCACTAGTAAGGTCCGTACAGCTTAAAAACAAAGACATTATGGAGTCTTAGTCCATGGTTTCGAAACTTGGCTGACTTTTCGTTAAAAGTTTGAAAATGGTGGAAATCTCAGGATAACTGTGGCTGTGAGTCAGCAACACACTTGAGCATGTGTGTCCATTTCAGGAAAATCTAAATCAGGCACTGCTGAACTGGGGCCTGTGCTTTTGCTTACGAAGAGTTCATCTGCCTGCAAATTTGAGTGATTTCAGTGAAAAAAGCAGGACTATGTTTCCAAGTTTTAAACCCCGGACTAACAGAATATGTGCTTTCAAAGCAGGTAGCATATTTTTTGCAATGCATGTCACACAGATATTATGTACAAACAGGAGAGACTCCTACCTCTTTAAATTTTACAGACATTGCACTGTTTGAGAAATCTTAGTGAAAACTTCCTCTGTGAGTAGTGAAATTGCATTTCATTTTTGTCAGTGGGGGAAGGAAGCCCCTAGTCGGTTATTGACTTGGGGGGAAAAAAAGATCGGTAATCTTCTCCTTCATTTGCTTTCAGTTCCTTTATAAATGTTGCTCAAGTACTGCTACCTATCTACTGCTTTCTACTCTTTTCAGCATGTCCACCAGCTAATTAGGTGAATGCGAACTCTGTGATGATCAGATACCTTCAACTGGTATGTAAAAGACTGAAAACCAAATCAACCCCCAAAACTGTTTGACTGGACTGTTAGTATTAATGATGATAATTTGGGTGTTTCATGATCTCACACAGTCATTCTGCTTTTTGAAAACCTGTTTGTGCTGCTTTGCTTGCTTTGGATTTGTTTTCTGTGGCGCTGGATGAATCTGCTTTGTTAATGAGCTTTTGTGGAATAGAACTGACTTAGCTTTAACTCGTACTAACACTTTGATGGTACAGAGTGAGGGACTGCCAGTGCATTTATAGCTATGTATTTGAGAGCAGCTAATGGTGCACTCCAGAGTCTGTGGAGCTGCACTGACTTCACTGGGTGTTGGATAAGGCCCTAGATGAGGCATGAATGTAATGGCAAACTATACATGAACACAGGTGGAATAGCACTCTTCCTGTAAGACTTCTGTGGGAGCTGACTCCTTTCATCTTATGAAGCCGTAGGGAGTGGAGGCATTTGCCTTGGAGGATGGGCCCCAATATACTGGGTTTTTTTCCCCACATGAGTTAGCATGGAACATAAATACACTTTTGACATTGTGTGTAAAGTTTGAGGAATGCCTGCCATCCCAACATAACCTCTGTGCTGTGCCTGTTCCACACCCTTTATCTCTTGTGATCATTATTTTCAGATTAGCAAAGACATCAAGGGCATGATAAGTCACACAGTATTGCACCAAAGTTTCTGATAGAGAAAGAAGACCGGCTGGGTGGAGCTTGCCCACTTAATTGGGGAGAGAGCTCACTGCCCGGCTCACTATAGCTGTATTCCGTGTGCTCGACCTCCCAATGTTGATAGAAGCAAGCCCTAAAAGCTAGAAGTCTGTATTGAGAACTATGGTGATAGTATGGATTTAAATTTTCAATTCAAAATGTGTCTTCCCAGACTAGCTCTGTAGGGCAAGTATCAGGTCATCAGTTTGAACTGCCTAAAGTTTACTCATGCAGTAGTATGTGGATTTTCTTATTCCCCTGTTCATTTGGTATCTGTGTAGAAATTCTCTTGATTATCCATACCACGTTATTGCTTGCACAAGCTGAAACCAGCTCTGAAGAAATTCTTGAGCATCACTGGTAGTAAATTTTATGCAAGGATCGTATAGGCAACAATCCATAAAAGCCAGAGTTCTGCCTGTATTTCAAGGGAGAGCTTATGTTCTCCACTTAATTTCTTTTTCCGTTTTGGCACTAGTTGGAGAAGGAAGTCTGTTTAATAGAATACTTTTATTCATCCAGCATTAGTTACTTATTCCAATTTTATAAAACTCTAGTGTGATCCTGAAACCACCTTGGTTTTACATAGCTAGTTTGTTACTACTGCTGAGTTGTGTCTGTATGACGAATGGCAGTGTATGCTGTCAAGTAATCAGGGTTGTGCTGGAAGGGTCATGGAAGAAAGGAAAATCAAATCAAGGGTTGTCACACAACTTTTTCCAGTTGGAAGCAATCTAAAATATATTAGGAGGAGACAGATATCCTAGGAGGAACTGTGGAAGTGGAGAGCGTGGTAGAAATGAAATGTGAGCCAACAAAACTGTGTTTGCTTTCGTATAGCACCTTTCATATTTAACAACACTGAGGGTGAGACATTGAGCTAAATCTCCGTGGGGTCCTCTGAAGATTTCTAGCATGCAGTAGGTTCGTATTACGGTAACAAACAGCCTGCATTAGAAGTTTTGTTACTGCACTGTAGAAGTTGCACGGAAAAAGGTGGGTGGATTTTTTTTTTTTTTCTGACCTTACTCAGGCTTCCACCTGAGATAAGTATCAAGCAGTAAACGTTGAAGTTACTTATAAATGCTGGGATTTGAGCAGCTGACAAGTCACAGGACAAATGGCAGAGCACAGGATCCTTCCACTATCTCAGCTAGCTGCTTCTGCCTGTGCTGCTTCTAAATCTCCAAGTTGTGGAGAGAAGAGAAGCATGTCATCTTTCTGTGGGTACTGTGAGTGAAGCCCGGACAAAATTTGATTTTTAGCAATGGCTAGTTCTAATCTCTATGGTTACCTGTCTTTTCTCCCTCCTTCCCACCCACCGTGCGGTTAATTCTTCTTAAAACCTCTGCTCAGTTTATTGTGTTGCATGTAGTCTCTGGTGCAAGTAATTCTGCCTCTTGCATAACACAGAATTGAGTAAGCAAGCTTGCTTGCATTTTGCTTCGGATGTACTTGGGACACGTGACTTTGTTACCTGGTGTTGTACATTCGAAACAACCCCTGTTTTTTGTACATCCAAAAAACCCAACGTGGAAACAGCTGTCAGAGTCCACTAGTTTGGCTTTGGCCAAGCTTGCTATCTCTGTCGGCTCTGGTAGATAACTCTTCCTGGAAGCAGGATAGGTCATAGCCTAATCCCGTACAAGACAAAGTACTTCTCCAGCCAGGACTTAAGCATACCTAGATTCCAGGTTTGTAGTATGGCTGTGTGTAAATAAGACCTAACTTTCATAGCTATCTAATGTTTAAAACCAAATATCTCCATAATATAAGTAGGGTTAAAGGCCCCTGTTTTTAGTGTTTGTCTATGATGCAAGAGACTTCCATTCCCCGTCTGTAATCCCTACAGAAATAGGAACAATGCAGTTTCTTTTTCTGGGAGGTGGTGTTATGGGTGGTATTTGTCTTTTCGAAATGGATATCCTTGAAATAGATTTCATGTGGGTGAGTCAGATTCATTAGGTGAGTCGTACGGGTGGGAAGTCTGAGGTGCGGAGAACTGAAGTGAGTTGTCTCCAATCATATTGTGAGTCTGTGGCAGGGCTGAAGAAAAGAAGAAATAAAAAGAATCCTCTGTGGGCAACTCATTTCTTGACTGAGTACCTTTTTATGTTCAGTTAGAGCCATTGCAAGCTGTTGCAGAGTATTTGCCATATGTAAATATATGATTTGCTGCGCTGTGTGAGAGCGTGGCGAGAGCTGCTTTAGCCGAAGTTGCCTGTTGCCAGCCTGAGGGATGAAGGCTGGGGAAGGGCTGACGTGGCACGTGGGTGACGCCTTTGTAACACCCAAGAGCCTCTCTGGCTTGCTGTGGCGCTTCCAGGCAGCGTGTGCTGCATTAGAGCTCCTGCAAGATGAGTCAGCCCCGCACAGAGGAGCACCCTGCGCCTGGCGAACTAGCTCTGTGGCCAGGCACTGGTGACGACTTCACCCGCATGGATGGGTGTGCCCAGAGATTGGTAACTATCTAAATCTGTGCACGCAAATCAGCGATGACATAGGGTTGTGAAGTTTTTAGCTGGTTTCCTAGGGAAATAGACATGCTGCCTCTTGCTCTCCTTTTCCTCCCTGTCCCTCCTCCAATAATTTTAGTGTTGTTACTGGCCAGTTTCAGCTAAGTGTAAGAGAATAGGAATTTCAAAGGTACAAAACGGATTTAATTTATCTGGACGCAGTCTAAACTCACTGTGCAGGCAGAAGTTGGCAGTTCTGGGGTGATTCATCGCCTCCTCGAACGGTGCCTGACATGAAGGAAGTACATGGCATTGGACAGTGCTGCTCCCTCTTCAGCCCCAGGGACAGGAGGCCAAGCAGTAACTTGTTTGTGGGTGTATAAAGTTGAGTGCAATGAATCCCTTGTAAACTTGTTTCTAAAAGTTTCTTAAAAATAGGTGATGGAGTAGAGATCCTGTCCTTTAAGGTATCAAAAGGCTGCAGTGTCAGCTCAGCCTGTGTTAGATACCAGAAAAATCCACGTGGAAGTGAATGTTATGTGATGCTATGGCTGTGAGAGGCTTTGATCAGAGACTGCATTTTGTTAAGAACAAGTCCATCTACAAGTCGCGTGGACATGGAAAAGGGCTTTGTTAGCTTTGTGGCTTGGAGCACTGTTTGAACACATTTAAAATTTGTAACTTGACATTTTCATTTGCTTTGATGAAAGCAAAACTGAAACTAGCACATGAGGGTTGTTCCTGAGCATGACAGTGCTGAAGCACCTGGAGCTTTAGTTTCTGGGTTCAGTCTAGTGGTTGGTTTGTTTGTTTTTTTTCCCTCCAATCCCCCCTCCCCCTCTTCCCCCAAGGACAAACTGCTGATCTTATGTTTTTCCTGTTTTTCTGGTTGTTTGTTTTTAAACTCCTACGGTAAGGAGGTCTTTGTTGCTTTGTTGCTATATTGCTCCTTCTGCTTTCTCCCTGCGTGAAGTCTTTGTCTTGAGTTTGTAGCACTGCAAGTGATTGTGTTGGAGGCTGTTAGTGTC